TTTAGTAGGCACAACATCTTCATATGAAGCATGTGATATTTATAAACGTCAAAAGTATAATTTGGTTGCATTAGTAACGTGTTGAATAAATATTAAAACTAATCAATTTTTTCTTGTTTATTTTTTTAATCTTATTTAGCCCCCCTTTAGCCTCTTTCATTAAAATTTATTTTTTTCAAACTCATTTTCAACCATATATATTATGAAAATTACAGTTTTATCAATTTTTATCAAAATCTTCCAAAGCTCTAATTTTAGCAAAATCAAATAGGAGCTTAGTCACATGCAATGTACTAAATATATCTCCAAAAATATTACACCTAAATAAAAATCTCGTAAGTTAAAAGTACGATAAAAAAGTGTATGAAGATAAGAGATAAGAACGAACATTAGAAAATGAAAAATAATATTTTCATCTAGTGGGGGGCATTTTTCATATTGTGCCTTCACTTTTGGTATTTTATTATTATTATTATTAAATTAGTTGACAAAACTTTTATATAATTACATCTTTCATAGCTTTATCAACTTTTACCAAAATCTTCCAGAGTTCTAATTTTTAGCAAAATCAAACAGGATCTTAGTCACATGCAATATGCAATGTACTAAATATGTTTCTAAAGTTTTATTCAAATTTCGAAAAATTACAACTATATAAAAAATTTAAAAAAATTTAAAAATTACAAAATTACAAGTACGATAAGGGGATAAAAACTAACAATAAAAAAATGAAGAATAACATAACATACACCTATATTTTCTTCAAAGTGGGATGTGTTTCATATTATGCCTTCGCTTTTGGTATTTATTATTATTATTATTTTTAAATTTAGTCCACAAAATTTCGCAGAATTACATCTTTCATTGTTCCATTAAGTATAATTACAAAATCTAAATCTTTTTACTTTTTTGCTATTTCTAGGAACTATTATTATTAAAAACAAAGTGACATATATTTTAACTAATAATGAATAAAACAAAGGTTCAAAATTGTGCAGTCTATTAAACAAACACTCATTATATATCTTAAATCTTGAAATACGAAGATAAAAATAAAATTTTGCATACGATAATCAAATCAACATTGACAAGATGTGACTTCGATGAATTTGAGACATTAATCTTTAAGTAACTCAAATCAAATTCAAAAAATCAACTCAACCTCTATTTGGTGGCCTTACAATTTAAAAAATATAATTTTGAATAGCATTTTTCGAAGAATATATGATTAAAAAGTAAAGAAAAGTTTTATGTTTATATTTAAAATATTTTATTGTATGGTTGAAAGTGAGTATGATAAAAAAATTAAATTAAAGTAAAAGAAATTCAATGGGGGCTAAGTCGATGGTCCTGCAACTTCGGCGTAGGGTCATTGGACTTGACACTTTTGGTACACATAGTATATGTGGGCCCAAATTATTTGGTCATTTTCCATCAATACTCAGACTATTCTTTCCTAAAAACCAATTCGTTGATCAACCTTCCCAATATCGATAGTGAAAGACAGTTAATAATCAACTCCTCGTTTCGATAATAAAATAAATAAATATGGCTAGTGTGAATAGAAGTGTTTTGAATTGTTCTAAAAGGTTTTTATTTTTAGATTTTTGTGTATAAATATCATGGGATTCTCAATTTTTGAGTAGAATTTATCCGTTGGATTCAATTTTCGAAACAATGCTATCAGCAGACCTTTTATAAGCCAAAATTAACAATCAACAAACTCTTACGTTAGAATGGTCGAAAAAATTGAAATTACCATTATAAGGAGAATGAATGATCCAGACGGATCATAAACATAAAACAAAAGTGCTCATAAATATAAATTGAGAATATCTAGATGAGTCTTGAATTTAGATCACTAGCCTAGTACTGCTTGAATTAGATCTTACTTTCATACTTCTTGATATTATTGGATGAAATATAGTTTGACGTTGATGTTTACGACAATTTCTGTATCAAGACATTACTAACAAGTAAAATTTACTCTTATTCGTTTTTGCAAATACTAAGCAATTAGCCAAATTTAACAAATTACTTGTTTCACAAAAGTATATAATAAATACTACTATTTGTTAGAAAAAATTTGTAGTGCAATTCATGAAACTCAAGCGTATGTTTGGCTCATTTTTATAAACTAGTTAATGTTGAACATGCGTTGCACGTTATACTGTAATACTTTATATGTGTGGTGAAAAAAATATTTGATCCTCCCATTCACCATTTTGATCTAAATATGAGAGAAATGCAAGCATCTAAAAGTAAAAGACTAATTATTATACATTCAAGTAAATAATAAAATGCACATAAATATGATTATTAGAATTATTGCTAAATACATAAAATGCGCATAAATATGATTATTAGAATTATTGCAAATACGATACATGAATTAACGTGAATGTTGGTTAATTTAAAATTAATACCAAGGAATATATACGTGACAATAAATATTAAATCATTTATACTAAATGAATATAATTTAATTTTCAATTAAGTGAAAATGAATGTTAATTAACATACATGGACATGAATAAGGAATTGCACTAAAATTCTAACTAATAGTAATTAAATGAATGTGTATATTAATTAATTGAGAATTAATAAAAGTGACACATAAATTTGAATGTGAAATACTAATTAATACAAATTAAATGAACGTAAATGTTAATTAATTGATAATTGATTATAGAGAATACATACATGAACAAGAATTTTGTATTGTAAATTAAATATATATTGAAAAATAAAAAATTATATATTATTAAAATAATTGAAATTAATGGGATTATAATTGTTCAAAAAATTATTCTCACTTGATATGATATTTAATATATTATATATTGTTTAATGTTTACAAATATTTATATTATTTTTTATTCATACATTTCGAAATATTCACAAGTATTTCACTTATCTCAACTCATTTTTATCAACTTATAATTTAAAATCATTTACAAGCACTTCCTACACTTTATTTTGGGCTGTGGGACCCACGTGAGACCTTGTGGCCAAAAATCCAATACCTTAATCATTGATTCCCCCACTAATCGATGTAGTCGATACGAAATCTCTCGGAGCTTTCATGCTTGTCAAGATTCTAGTGGCTCTCTCGTTTGCTATTCTGTTTACCAGTCAACGTACGCATATCAGTGGCATCCCAGCATGAGTGGATTTTAGTATTTTACTTAAATAACTAGGACTTCTTTTGAATATTGATGACCAGAGTTTTAAGGACAGTTGCTACTGAAAATTATGGATCGAATTAGGAGAACATAATGATTGACATAGAAGATGATCAAACACATATACTTTGGGGGTCAGGCATTATTTAATTTATGTGGAACTCGCGCATTTTGTTAGGATCGATCACCCCAAGTATCAAACATTTTCGGGCAAAATAGCATTTTGCGAAAATCATACATTGCTACAGACAGTTCGACCATGAATTTAGCAGGCTCATCCACAGCAGATAATCTGCAGTTGGTCAACTCCACCTCGACACTTGAGCTTTCCAACTACCTAAAGTAAAGACAACTTTAACGTTTAAGTAACATAAAGATAAAGAGAATGTTTTTAAATAACCATTCTTTTTATATTTATTTTTCATTCAAGATAATTTTATTGTGTAACAGTTTCCTTAAATACGTCACACGATGTCCATGGTGCAAAGAAATCCTAAATTGAACATAAGTTATGTCATGGAAGAAATAAAGTGTAACATTGATCAATTATATCCATATCGAGTTAGAAAATCTTATAGTAAGGAAAACCTTAATTCAGTTGGTGCAGTTTCGTAACCAAATTGGGGTTTGGCAATGGTTCATGGCTGAAAATCGGCTTCAGTAAGTGAAATAATTTATCAAGTCCTTGTTTGATTTTTATTTTTTGAGAAGTATTTTTTTTTTTTTTTAAGAATGTATGATCAAAGAATAAGAAAAACTTATGATTTGACTGATAAAATTATTTATTAGAAGAATGTACAGTTGAAAATGTATCTGAGAAAAAAATGATTTTTTTTTTTTTGGAAAAAATAAAAATCAAACAAGGACTAATTATCATACTCAAAATTTTCATTGTACAAAAGATAGTTTCTATAAAATGACATATTACATATTAGGAATAAAAATGAGGGTTTTGCTATTTGTACAGGGTTGTATAGCCTCCTCACAATAGAGGGCTCGCGCCCAATAACAAAACCCGTAAACCTCTCCTATTATGAGGGGGCCTGTACATCGAGGAGTAGCAAAACCCTAAAAATGAATGTCAACATAAATAATGACTTTGTGTTTGGTATACCAGATAAATAGTAATCATGTATGGCTGAGCTTAAAGTCAAATTATATTTTCAAAATATCTGAAAGAATAATTCTATTTGTACCGAATTGGGAGTACTAAAAGTTGTCCCTTCTTTCACAACGCACACGGGTCTCGCGTGAATATAAAAATTTCCAAATGTCATCCCCACCCCCTATTCTAAGTGATAGGAAAAGGATTAGGTAAAAAAAATTATATACATGTAATATTGTCCTTTCCAAAATAACTGATTTTTTATTACTAGTAGTAAAAAATTATATGGTTTAAAATTAGTCATGTTTATCTTCTCATGATAGTATAGTGATGAGAAGCGCCCCCAGGGCATATCTCCCAGTGGCAAAGGAGAGGGCGGATAGGGCTCAACGCGGCAGTGTGCAGATTCGATTCCCCGCAAGGTGGAATTTGCTTTGTTGCAAGCGGGAATTACCATATGGGTTAACAGCCTTGGCCTATCCATGTGCTCTCCACCCTGACTCGTGGGAGGCACATCCTACGATTTATCTCTTCCACGATGGCTCAGGGCAAGGTCGGTAAGGTTGGAGTTCAACCTTTTATAGTGATGAGAAGCAAGTCTGTGTCGCCAAAGTCACTCGAATCTCTCTCTCTATATACGGAGAATCGGGAATACAGTTCATATAGGAAAGCAAAAAGGAATTTGAAAACCAAAAGAAAAGAAAAGGAAAAGTTGATAATTAGAATACGTATATACAACTCTGCCTACTTTACTACCAGAAAGTCCTCTTTTCCTTCTTACTAGATTGTAATAAAGATATTTTTCTGCTCTTTATCTCCTATATATATGAGTGCGCGTGTCCACAAAGAAAGAAGAAAGTAAAACTCTGTGCTACCATGAACATTTTGGCTTTTGCAGGCATTTAACTGAGCTTATCACTTAATTCTTGGAGAGTTGAAGAAACCTTAAAACTGTCACTCTGTACGTTTCAGCATCCATTCTTGCTTAAATTTCACTTTGCACTGTGAAAAAAGAAAGAGGGGGTCCCTGAAGTGTACTTGATTCAATCAAGGGAGTGTTTTTTTTGCTTATCTCAGATCTGGGTTCAACAAAAAGACATCTAAATTCAAGACAAGGTATTGTTAAAAGTGAATATTGTTTTTTTTTTTTGCTTATGTTGTTATTGGGTTGTATTTTTGAATTTGGATCTGAGGAGTTCTTGGCTTTCGATTTCTGGGGCGTGCTGTTTTGGTTCTTGTATTCTTTCGTCTCATTCATTGCCTTTTCTAGCACTTCTGAATTGAAACTACCTCAATCATGTACAACTTTTGATATTCTTTTTCCAGGAAATTGGAGAAAATGTTGCCTCAGAAGCAAGTAGAAGAAGCTATAGTATCAACTTTCAATGAAACCGAACATGAAGGAAAGGAAGAAGAGAAAGAAGAAGAAGAGTCCATTTTCAGTGTCAAAAGCTTCCTCTGGCATGGTGGCTCTTCATGGGATGCCTGGTTCAGTTGTGCTTCAAATCAAGTATATATCTACTTTTTTCGTTCATTGCATAGAATTTCTGCATCAGATCTTCTTATTGATCAAAAGAATAGATTAAAAATATTAATTTATTTTTGATAACTTTTTGGCAGGTGGCACAAGTACTACTAACTTTGCCATATTCTTTCTCCCAACTGGGAATGTTATCTGGAGTTTTGTTTCAATTATTCTATGGAATTCTTGGTAGTTGGACAGCCTATCTCATCAGTGATCTCTATATCGAATATCGAAGCAGAAAGGAGAAAGAAGGCGTTAGCTTCAAGAACCATGTCATTCAGGTTGGCACCTTCGACTTTACCGAGACAAATTACACCTCAGATGCATGTTGTGCTTAAAAATTACTTTTCCAGAGAATAAGTTTATACTTATCTTCTTAAAATTAAGTTATGTCAAGTTTTATTGTGTTCTTGAATTTTAGTGGTTCGAAGTATTGGATGGGTTATTAGGTCCATTCTGGAAAGCAGTGGGTTTAGCCTTCAACTGTACTTTCCTCCTCTTTGGATCTGTTATCCAACTTATAGCCTGTGCAAGGTAATGAAATGCATACTTTTCTTGATTATAAGCTATATAATCATGTACTGGGATTGAATAAAGTTTGATTCTTGATTTGAACAGTAACATATATTATATTAATGATCGACTGGACAAGAGGACTTGGACATATATATTTGGAGCTTGTTGTGCCACGACTGTGTTCATTCCTTCATTTCACAACTACCGGATTTGGTCCTTTCTAGGCCTCGGGATGACCACTTATACGGCATGGTACTTAACCATAGCAGCCCTTATTCACGGCCAGGTAATAAATAATCAAAGTAGATTCAATAATACTGAACAATATTAATAAAAGGGGTCGAGCCTATATATTTTACACCAAAAGATGTGTAAATAAGTAGTACGTTGATTTTTTTTCTGAATGAATGCAATATATTATAAACAAGGTTGAAGATGTGCAACATTCGGGTCCAACAAAGCTAGTGCTTTACTTCACCGGTGCCACCAATATATTGTATACCTTCGGTGGACATGCTGTCACTGTGTAAGCTTTTTTCTTTTTTACTTATAATTAATTCCATATTTCCATTTGCTCAATTATTCATGAACAAATATTATCTTCTTGTTGCTGTTTCTGCACAGCTTCTCTTTGCAGCTTTTGCCGGTCACCTAGGGATAGAAACTCAGACAGTATCATTAATTTTTCTTTTTCTTTGATTGCAAGGATGACACAGTAAATTTAATTAATTTTTTTAAAACATATTTAGACACTAGTTACATTTTACTGAATAACATTTATTTGTTTTCAGGTAAGTCCTCTTCCCCTTTGCTAAATAGATACCGGAAAAAGCTTCAAAATTTCGTTATTCGCTTATACAAGTAAATTTTTTAGATTAGCCAAACGTGCAAGACATAGGACCAAAAGTACTTTTTTGCAGTACACGGTATTTGCTTACAGTTTCCAATAGTAAAAAGAATATTCTTGCTCTGATCAATTTGTCGTCGTGTGAACTTTTATAGGGAAATAATGCACGCAATGTGGAAACCACAAAAGTTCAAGTACATTTACCTATTGGCCACATTATATGTTTTCACCCTAACTCTACCATCAGCTTCGGCCATGTATTGGGCATTTGGCGATAAGCTGCTCAACCACTCCAATGCCTTCTCCCTCCTCCCTAAGACCAGATGGCGCGATGCGGCTGTCATCCTCATGCTCATTCACCAGGTCTGCTTGTTTACATGTGTTTCAGCTCTCGTTACATAGTTCAGTATCGTAAATTAGCTGAACACGTAACCATCTTATCTAAAAGTTTTAAGTTTATAGAAATGAGACACAGTTCTTTATTTACATTGGGTGTTCAAGAAATAAGTGGACAATTTTCGTCGTGAGATTTTTTATTTTTTGCAGTTCATCACATTTGGATTTGCCTGCACACCACTATACTTTGTGTGGGAGAAGGTTATAGGGATGCATGACACAAGAAGCATATACCTAAGGGCTCTTGCAAGACTACCAGTGGTGATACCAATATGGTTTTTGGCCATTATTTTCCCATTCTTTGGCCCCATTAATTCTGCAGTTGGTGCCCTTTTAGTTAGTTTCACTGTTTACGTCATCCCAGCTCTGGCCCACATGCTCACTTACAGGAAAGCCACTGCTCGTCTGGTAACTCTCGTGTGCTCTCTCACGTGTAGACTCGAATTCCCTTTTTCTTTTTTATCGATTGTCTTATTCATGCTCGATTTTCATAAATGGATGACAGCAAATCAGTTCTAATACTTTTCAGTTTTAATACTTCACGTAAAGTTTAAAAGTTATGAAGGGTACAAACTTATTTAACTAAATTATGTGTTCAAACACTAATGAAGGAATGGAAGGTACAAACACAAACATTTGCATTGATGGCATGGATTTGGAAACACTTCTACACCACTAGAAGATTTAGGTAGCAAGTCCTTTTCATTTAGTTATATGCTATACTCTAGGTGTTGTATTATGTCAAATATTAGCTGGCTTCTGGTTGCCCCTCATTTTCTACATAAAATCGACTCTTCCCCGATCCCCACATGTCCTTGAAACGATCGAAATGACATGTTTAATACACAGAATGATTTATTGATTTTGAATAGAACAATTTACTTCAACATACCAAATATTCGAAAAAGCTGTGAAGGTATGTTCAAAGCTAAGTTATGGATAGTTGGAGTCAGCTTTGATTGGGTATGGGTTAGTTTAATTGAGTTATCGTCGATTTTTCATTAGTTTAAAAAGAATGCAATTTGTAAGATATTCTATTAAACGGAGAAATAAAAATTGGGTTACATTACATTATTGTGTTAATGATTGCAGAATGCAGCTGCAAAGCCACCATTCTTCATGAGAAGCTGGACAGCCATGTATGCACTGAACATCTTTGTGGTGGGCTGGGTTTTCGTGATCGGGTTTGGTTTCGGAGGATGGGCAAGCATGACCAATTTTGTTAGACAAGTCGACACATTTGGGCTCTTTGCAAAGTGTTACCAGTGCAAGCCTCCAATGCCCACGAATCAAACATCGTCGTTGTTGCCCCACCATTAAGAAAATTCACCTTATTCTCAACTTATATAGAAATGTTACTAAAAGTCGTGTGTTTTTGTTTTCAAGAATTTTTTTTCTTAAAAGTATTAGGTAAGATAGTGTGTGTTTGAATTATTATAATTCCTTAGCTAGTCGTTTTAAAGAAAAAAGGTCCTTGTTTGATTTGGATTAAAATCGAATTACAATTTTAAGACAGATTAATAATAAATTTTAATAACATATTTTATAGTATTCACAACTTTTCAATCACATATTTCATCAAATTTTATTAAAATTTACTAATAATCTAATTTTAATCTATATCAAATAAGGACTGGAGGCCAACATTGTAATTTTAAAAAGAGGAAAATTACACTAACATGTGATTTTTAACTTCCCATTTAAATAATCAAATACAATTTTTTTCCCCTAAAATCAAGGCCCCCCACGACAAACCCACCCCACACCTACGCCTCACACTAATTAAGTGTGACATTCTATTTCTCTCTTTTCAACTCCATCTCTGTTCGCTCCCTATATCTACAGAACCCACCAACTTCAACAATCACGTACCAACTTTGGCCACCATCACCAAAAACCAGCCACCACTTTCTCCTCTCACGTCCAATGGTGGATCGATGTACAAAGATTTGTACTCACTCACATTGTCATCTTTGCTGCTAGGTCGTGTCTTCCTAATGTAGAAGTTTCCAAGTCAAGTGATGTCAAGTTGTCAAATAGCACATTGATGGTGCTAAGATATCATAAGTTGGCGGATCGACGCAAAGATGGAAAGTGACCGTGATCTTTTCTTAATTGGGGGAAGATGACAAGTGATCGTGGTCTTTTCTTAATTGTGGCGGTTTTTGAACACGTTTTGATAATTTAGTCATAACTTTGACTACGGTTATCAGAATCACAATTATGACCTCAATTAAAAAGCTCTTTTCAGAGCTCACGTCGTGGTCACTTAGCTATGCTTGGTGGGCATCAATTTCGGAGCCAAAATCCATTGTTTTCACTCCCAGATTTCCATTTTTTGTTATTTTTTTCGTTTATTTTAATATTTCAGTTGCCGTTGATTATGAACTCGATTTGAGCTAGATTTTTCGCAAGATACTTTTATTATATATTTTATTTCAGTATGACTATTGGAATTTGCCATTTTTGGTAAAAATTTTAGCTCTATAACCTGGCTTATGGGTTATTTTTCGTTATTCTGAGTTTAATAAAGTTGAATTGAATTTTAGAGAATTCTCTCTGTCTTTGGGTGTTTTTCTTCGTATTTCTTCCTGTGAAATATCTATTATAGCTAGCCTGTAGGGTGATCGCCATCTTGCCCAGCGTCACTTCCCCTCGAAGGTCTGCCGCTAAACACTACCTTAAAAATCTGTCTCCGTTGTTATATATGTAGATGTTGTTGTGGTGATGAGAGATCTACAATATCTTTGAACAATGACAAGGGCAACGATCTATGTCAAAGTTAGGATTTAAATATGGATGGTACAATCTAGGAGTGCGATCTTGCAATTTCCTATGTATCTGTATTAGGTTATGTGTTGGATTGTGGGTATTTATGTTTGTACGTGTCTATGAGATTAGGTCGAGGTGGTGGTGGTTAGGTGGCAATGACATTCGAGTGGTGGTGGAGGCTAATATGTAGATAATTAGCACAAAATATCCTTGCATTTCAATGTTATTGTGCAAAATATCCCTATCTTTCATTTTTTTACATTTTCATTCCAATTTTCACATTTCATTGCGAAAAAGGTAATTTTCATCCAATTTCTCAATTAAAAAAATATAAAATGACAAATATACCCCTATTTAAATAAAACAAAAAAAGGAAAAGGGAAATTAAAGAATAAATTGCAATTATACTCCTTACCATTTTAAAAAAACTGCAGATGATTCCAAATAAATTATTAAAAGGGTAATTAGCACAAAATGTTCATACATTTCATTATTATTGTTCAAAACGTCGCTGTATTTTTTTTTCGACATTTTCACCCTTATTTTTACATTTCATTGCGAAAACCATTATTTTCATCCTTTTTTTTTCAATTAAAAACTTTAAAATGATAAATATACCCTCCTATTAAAACAAAGAAAAATAAAAAAACAAATTGTAACTATACTCCCATATTTAAAAAAAAAAAAAAGAAGAGCACAACTAAAAAAATTAAAAATAAATAAAAAATAAAAAACCCACTTTCTTTTTTAATTATTTATTTGTACTTTTTTTGAAAAATTTGGGAGTATAGTATTAATTGTTCTTTATTTTTTTTAATTTAAATTGGAGGATATATTAGTTATTTTACATCTTTTAATTGAGAAAATGAATGAAAATGATGATTTTCGCAATGTAATGTGAAAATAAAGGGTAAAAATGTCAAAAAAAATGGAAGGTAGGAATTTTGAATTATAATATTGAAAGATATGGACGTTTTGTGCTAATTACTATTTTAACAATTTATTTGGACTAATTTACACTTTTTAAAAAAGTTTGGGAGTATAATTACAATTTTTTCTTTAATTTTTCTTTTCTTTTTTGTTCTATTTAAATAAGAAGGTATATTTACCATTTTACATTTTTTTATTGAGAAATTTGATAAAAATGATAATTTTTGCAATGAAAAGTAGGTAAAAATGAGTGAAAATGTCAAAAAATTAAAATGTATGGACATTTTGGAAATAACATTGAAAAGTAAAATCGTTTTGTGCTAATTATCCCTAATATATAATAATAATAATAATGATGAATTTATTTCTTTTTATTATTAACATTAGAAAAATGAAATGGGCTTCCGGGAACTAGTTTGAGCCCAATCCAATCCTCCTTCAAATTGCCCCGACAATGGCTATGAGGTGGTAGCAAGAGTGATGGCGATGGTAAAGTAGGGGGAGCACCCATGGTCAATTATTTCAGTAATTGTAACTAATAAAATGGATAATATGTGACTAATAAATAATAATTGACCTAAAAATGTGCGATTTACAATTATATTTGTAATTGTGCCTCGCAATTTGTGTCTTAGTGACTATGACATTGTGGGATTTGTTTCCGTGACTATAAATTGTGTGGTATTATGACCTTGACATGTTTAGTTAATTAATACGTCACAAAATTTAATCACGTGATCACATTTTGTGCCCGAGTGAGTGACCACTTGATTTTTAAAAGAATTCCGCAAATTTCATAAATTTAAAAGTGTATCTTAAAATTATGATAATTATTTTTTTTGAAATAATACTACTTGTATATAATGAAACTGTATAATAATTTACATACAGATGAGGTACCAAAAAAAAATAGTGGGGTAGTTTTTTTAGTTAAAAATTTTTGATCAAATCATTTCTTTTCATCATCATATAAATTATGCACATATAGCATGACTATCTTTCTAAATCAAAATACTTAATTTCGTGCTCTATATATTGTGTGCGCTCAATGATAATTCACCTGTAATGGGCCCAGTCTTGACTTCTTATTCTAAATCTGTCATGCTGACTAAGGTAAATTGTAGATTTCATCCCTAATCTTTATCAAAAGTAGCAATCTCGTCCTCAACCCCATCATACTCACAGTTTCCATCTAAATAAGTCGTTAAAAGTGGTTTTTTGGGGTTAGGGCAGGTTCTGTTGGGTGGGTAGGAAAAATGGGACAGTGGGGACAAGGGTTAGCGCGTATCCTATTGGGGGAGATGAAGGAGGTTTTTTTGGGATTATTTTACCCTTTCTTCAAAGTCAGTTGGAAATCAAGAAACCTCATTTAACATATCATTTGAATGAAACCGTCCAAAAGACGAAATATGTTAATTTATGATAGGTTGAGAACAAAAACTTACCATGAAGGGTTGGGAATGCGATGGCTACTTTTGGCAAAGGTCGAAGAGGAAATTAGCAATTTACCCTATTGATTATTGGGAAAATTAGGCTAATCACTTACTTTAAATAATTTTTACTATTTTGTTATAACTTCTAATTTTAAAGATGTTATCACGAATTTTCCTCCCTCATCAATTAGAGTTTTATTTGTTATATAATCCTAATCACTCCATTAATTTGGCACATTCCTGTCAAGAGAAAACTCAACATTGAAAAGCTTAATCTGAAATCCATATAAAGAAAAACCTCCAAATGGAAAACTCCACTGATTGAAGCATGTGTTTGTCGTGGAAAGAAAGGAATAAATTTCTCGAATCTCATCGTAGAAGTAAGATAATTTTCAGTAAAATTGTAGGGTTACATATTGAAAAGAGAAAAAATATCTAACCACTTAACCAAGTTTGTTGCATATTTCAATTCATTTTTCCTTTACAATGTATGTATGATTGATAATTATTTTATAATCACTTCAGTCAAAATAAAAATGGGAAGTCCTAGGACAGACGAGCTCGGCTCTACCTTATGGACAAGTCGAGCTCGATTCGTCTCCATGAGGTTGTCACGATTTGTCCATTTGGCTCGTAGGCCTCGTGTGCAAAGTTGCCACCCATGAGCCCATGATCCGACTAAATTTCTTAAAAATAGAAATTCATAAAATAAATTTAAAAATTTTAAATTAAATATTTCATACTCTCTAGCACGAGCACACAAGCAAATAAAAAGGGTGCTTGGCTCAATAAATAAAGGAAAAATTACCTAGAAACATGGGTTTAAAAATCAGTTTTCATAAATAAGAGGGATTAAGTTTAATTTCATAACTCAGATGGTAATTAGAAATTATTAAATAAATACATTCACAATAATTCAATCTACTCAACCCTAACTTTCACACACCACATCCAATCTCTCTCTACATCTCTCTCATTCCCCTCATGGCAGTCTTCACCACCACCATTATTGGCGGCAGTTTCCTAGCCGAAGAACGAGTATTTTCGGTGAGATTGAGATCCGGCTACGAAGCTGAATTGATCTCTCAGCAACTCAAACTGTCGAAAAACGAGTATTTTTCGATGAGATTGAGATCCGGCTATGAGGCGGAATTGATCTTTCAGCAACTTGTGGACGTAGTTAATGATGATGATCTTGAGTTAGCTTTGGACCTCATTTCACAAACAAAGATCTCCTTTTTCAGATGATCCTCCAAGAAAAGATAGGCCAAATGACCCAAATTGAACAGAGCATCACCACGCTTCCGCCATCAAAGATCGTTGTATAGGTCAATTAATATTATGTGATTATAGGAATATGTAGTAGTTAGTGTGTACCGTGTCTGTAAATTTGTGGGTTTGTGCTAATTTGCAGGAAGTTTGCTAAGTGGGGGTGGGAGCAAGCCATTTGACATGGCAAATTCAGCCGACTGGGCTAATATGATTGATGGGTTCCAGAATGTGGAGCTGGAGTCACGTCTTGGCATTCCAATTATCAATTCTGATATTTATAATAAAAAACATAAAAAAAAACATAAGTGTTCATTGTTTTTGTAATATTGTTCAATATTTTGATTAAAATATAAGACACAATGCATTAAAATTTCGAAATTTTTTATTTTAGTTTTAGTTTCGGATATTTGCGATTTTACATGTATTTATTGGTGGAAGATCTCAAATTTTGAAACCGATCGAGTATTGTTGATTGATAGTAATTTATCAACTCATGGATTTCTTTTAGAGTTAAATTTTGTACAACCGTGGTAGTTGATTACTTTCAAATTGGAAAGCAATCATGAGTGTAATTATTAACAAATTAATTAATCATCGTGTATTGTGACTGTCTGTGACCAAATTTGTGTTAACTGTGACCGCATGGTTACATATAGTCACAAATTAGATCAAGATGATCACAGATAGTCACACTGAAGACAATTTGTTAATGAACACATAAGATTACAGTTCATACATTACGAGTTACAATTCACCGATCATAGAATTGAGTTCACAAGTTACAGTCATTTCATATAAGTCACAAACCAGTATAAACGGGTCATAGATCAATATTAATAGGTCACATGTTGTTTTCTAGAAGTCACGGATCAAATTTATAGGTTACATTTTATGTTACGAGTCACAGGTAACAAATCACAGGTTAAAAATCATATTTTATAAGTTACAATGTATACAGGTCATAGGTTATTGCCGAAAAAAAGAAAAAAAAAAGATTTATGAATTTAATATATTTAATTACAAAAAAAAATATTTTTTTGATTAATTATTTCATAAATAAAATTTTAGTAGTGTTTGATTTTTGAAATTTCAAACTTTATTTCTTAATTTTGAAATTGATCATATGCATATTCATCCTACCTGATTAGGTCACAGATTTAATAGAATTGGTCACAGATTACAATGTGTGTATGTCACAAATCTAATGAAATTAGTCACATATCATTTTCAAAAAAGAAGAAAAAAGAAAAAGGTAGTCACAAGAAAGAAAGATCATCGGAATACTCGCTATAACGGTCATTGGGAGTCGTCAAAATATTCACAAGTGATCAATTAATTTTGATGATGTGTAATAGAAAAATAACTTGTGACTATTAATTTGATAACTATGATCGTGAAATAAGTTGTAACCTATAAAATTTGTAATTGTGATCGATAAATAGGTTGTAACCCATAAAATAGGCCTTTGATTAATATAAGTTGCATCCAGACAACAATAGGCCATGTCAAATAACATGTTACAATGAACACATTACAGGTCATTAACATTCATGACAAAAATAGACTTGATCGCAAACAGTCACAAATAATAAAAACTTAGTTATAGTGAGTCACAAATGACACATAAATGGTCACAAGTAGTCACAATTAATAGAAAATTTGGTCTCGCTAAAAATCATTGTTCACATACTAGATCACAAAACAATGTTAACACGGCATAGTCACCTACAGTCACAGTCAAGATGATGATGGTCACATATAGTCAAAGTTAAACGGATCATGTCACAAACAGACATATTTAAGAAATATCTAGTCACATACAATCAAAGTTAAGATAAATCTAATCACAAACAGTCATATTGAAAATAGAACTGATCACAAACGATAACGGTTTACACAGATCTGATTACAAATAATAACAATTTATACACATTTGATCACAAATATCCAATGTTATAACAGACCTGATTATTTATAATCACCTTAAGATACACATTGTCACATAATTATTAATTACAAAGAAAATCCAGGCCACAGACAGTTAAGACATACAAATGATTTGCATTTTACCGATTAAATAGACATATTAATCACATAAGCAAAAATCTCACATTCTCAGGGATACGAGAAGTAGAAGAACAATAATATCCTTCCAACTATTTGCCAGATCCAACTAGGTTCAATTAAATTTAAATGCACCGTTTAGAAATATTTGGAATTAGTTAACAAAAACAAATATACCCATTTATTCACAACCTTACCAGAGAACCATGAAAGTCTCAGCAGTGGGAAGACACAACTATAAAAGGAGTTGAAAGATTTTTCTGAGATGAAGTGTAGCTGCCTGAGAACCATGAGCTAAGTCCCAACAGTGTGCAATGCCACCATAAAAATGTTGTAAGACGATTCCAAGTCAAAATAGCTGCCGAGCTTGCTGCTTAGTAAGCTCATCAGCAGCGCACCCATTTTTTAGAGCCTATCTATGCATTCCCCCATCCTCGTCTTCCCCTTAAAATTAGGAGGCAATATGGTCAGCTTATCGAGGGAAGCCGACAAATCACACACTATCTCCGTCGAGTCCTCACCTCCGACATTATCTCCACTATCGCTACCCAAAGATCATCGGACCGAAATCTTTCATCCAACCTCTCACCAACACCGAATTATGGTTTATTGGGGTGGGTGTGGTAAATTGGGCAGATATGATAGATTGCGGCAGGGAGAGATTTGTGTAGTAAGAGATTACTGTGGATTTGGATTCCTTTAAGTTTCATATGTATATGTGTGTGTGAGAGATATATTATTGTAATTTATCACCTGGTTTTTGAAACATTTTGTAAGTTTGTCAAATATGAAATTATATATTTAAAGTATTGTAGTTATGTATTTTTCCCATAAATAAATAGTATCGATACAAGCTCCAACCCACGAGCCGAGTGGGGACAAATCGTGTTCGTGAGCGACTCGACCCGTTTGTCACTTTAGGTCAAACATACTTTGTTGTAAATATTGGAGGGATGAAGAAGAAACAAAAAGGAAATTCACAAGAAGTATAGCAACAATAGGAACAAAATCAAAAAATTGTAACAACAAATGTGAAGGCTTGAACGCGGGATCGCTGTCATCAAACGTTATTTGCCCCCTCTTTGGCGTTTATGAGATGCTTAAAGGTATTCCAACAAATGATTTGAAGGATTGTAACAAGCCTTGTAAAGAATTTCACCAAAGTACACAGTGAAATTCTTCCAAAACTTGAAGAACACAAAAATAGAATAAATATGAATGTAAACCAGGACTTGATTGTTTTTGGAACAAAATATGGATTGTAAGATATTTTCAATGTTTATAATGTATTTATTTTGATCATTCATCACCTATTTATAGGTCTCAATCAATACATCACGAAATGGTGCCAAAACAAGATGAAAAGTGGCAACTTTTAATCCAAAACGACTCCCAAGTTTCAAATTAAAAAATCAGCCAACGACTATTTTTTAACATTATATGCACGCATAGTATAAACCTTGTGTACGTATAATAGAAACAAATTTAATTCTGGTTTTGCCTAAACGCATCTCGTGTATGCACAAAAATAAGCCTGTGTGTACACATAGGCAAAAAAAATCAGATTTTGCGTTTTTCAATTTCTTTTTATTCTATAAATTCAACAATTGAGCCCAACAATTAGTCCATTATCATTCCATTGATTTTGAACAAATATTCTACATACTTTTTATCCACATATTTCGTAATATCCACTACAACTATTCCATTTTATTTAGTATCCACGACTTATAATTACATAAAAGTATTATTTAATCAACAACTAAACATGCTTTTCAAACTTATTTTATAAAATTCACAAATTTTATTAACTTTTCAAGTACAAATTTCATCGTCTTTTACCAAAATCCACTAAATACATGATTTTTCAAAAGGTCATTCTTAATGAGAATACATAAACATTCTTAATGCATGCAAAAGCATAAAACCTATCTCCGCCACATTATTATGTAGTTTTTCCTTAAACTTTAAGGTACAACACGCTTAGAAGAATGATGAATTTGACATTTTTAATTGTCATTATCCAGAAAAAGGTAATTCATCAAAACTCTTTTATCCCCCACCACCTCAAGGCGGCCCTGTCTTCCACTAGCGTGCAGGGATAAATGAAGAGAAAAAGTAAAATTAGAAGCAATGGCATTAGGAAACCAAGGAATGAAGAAATGGTTAAATAGTATAAAACAGAAATATTTTCTTTTATACAGAATAAAAAATAAACACTAAAATGCATAAAAAATAATCATGGAAAGATGTTCCTAGTCCTACAGTCAGGACCTTATCTGCACCAAGGATTGAAATTTGAACATGAAAGAATTCTCAAAATCTCCACCTTAAAAGGCTTCGCGGATTAAGATTATTGCTTGAATATTAGGACTGTACAGTGTTGTACCTAACAAGTTCAGTATCCCGTGTGTTCAAGAGCTGTTCGAATGTCTGCACACGATGCATTGATCAGATATCAATCTATCTATAATGCTTCCCTCTTCAATCTTGATTCTACTACTCTGTCTATTCCATAAATGTACCCCATAGGCCTCCCTCTTGAGCTGCCGCAGCTTGACTTCCACCCATTTCTTGTCATTCTGGTCATTAGGCCGGGCAAAAAATCTGGCCACCCGAGTCCAATCCACCGGATAGAAGGCCATTGGAGGAAAAATAGTAAAGTTAAAATCTTGTGGTTTTTCCAGCCTATCAACCACTCTTGACACCAAATATGGTCCATTGTGTCCCCATCTATTCCCATCAAAAGTTAAAGCAAATTCCTCCATGAACATGTACAGAAGTGGATGCTTCTTATCAAACACAAGAACTGCGTTATTCAATCTTGTCCAATTTCCATTGAGATCAATACTCTGTGCTCCAATTGAATTCCTTAAACTTGAAAAATCCTTCAGTACGATGAAATCCGTGTCCAAATAAACTCCTCCATACTTGTATAGAACTGCTAGCCTAATCAGGTTGGATAAATTCTGTGCCAGGGGAATTTCCCCGGGGTCCCTTTTTCCATTTTTGATATCATTCAACCATATTTCTGATGGGGTGTTGTTGAATAAGGAATACAAGTTGGGCGTGATTGCTTGAACTCTATAGCCACGTTCAATCAGAGGTTTCAAAATCCTATATCCATATCTAGAATCCATAGAATTCGAGAGGATAATCAAACATCCCGAGGGATTTGTTTTGAACAAGCTCTCTATAATGAAAAATTCCCTAGTTCCAAACGATTTTGCTGGAGAAATCCATGTCATGAAGAACTGGACCTTGCACTGATATCTGCCAAAAAAATTCCCAATTCTAGAATCAAATTTTGGTGTCGGATTCGTAGATTCAAACACTTTCAATTCTTGAATTCTCCCTTTTTCATCAGTAATCTTTTCAGTGATTTTAATCCATACTTGATCATCTGATGAAGTTGATTTCAAAGGTTCCGATATTTTGTGAGTCTGCAACTCGTGATGATTGCTTCTGTTTACATCAGCAACAGAGTGGACTGAAAGATTATCAGAAAACAAACTGTCGGTGGAAATAATAACTAGGATGATCAAAGCAAAAGTTATAATCGAGAATATGTTCAACTTGATAGGGTTGAATCTCAATGAATCCAACATTTTTGCCCACAAAAATGTAACTCAGTTTCACAAGAAATCGGAAGAAATTGATATAAAGATATAGAGGAATTCACAAGGCGATCCCATTATCACTAGGATTAAACTATTCTTTGTATATGGATTTCGGGTAAGATTCCGGTTGTTGAATTTGAGAAGAATTTGGCTGCCATAGGAGACTTTTAGAGAGAGGGAGAGAGATGGAGACACTGTTGCATGGAATTATTTATTCGAGTATGATTCCCGTACTAACTAATTCCCTCTAATTTCGCCACCAATTGGATTCAAGATATTATTAACTTTTGATGAAATTACACCACTGATCCGTAACTTCTTGGCCAGGTAAAAATTGATCATCAATCTTATAATTACGATATATCGCAATACATATTGTTACCATAATAAAAGTACGTCTCACTTCAAATTAGCAGACACCACTGCAAGTTAATAAAACAAACCTATCTTATCAAGTTAGATAAATGAGGTTCATGTCCCGACTTGATGAAATTTAGACAACTTTTGTGTTTTAGGATGAATGTAGAACTATATAAAAAGACAGATCAATTTACTCATTTTTAAAAGTTTGGAATCAATTTGTCACTAGAGATTGAGGAACAATAATGCAATTGTTTCTTAATTTTTGGTAAACCGGAATCCTTGTTTCAATATGTTGGATATATTATTGGAGAATCCCCGAAAATTCCTGAGTTTTGTTATCGAGAAAGGTTAGGTCAAAGTCAATCTTGTCTTCAATTCAAAAATTGGTGCAAATTGGTCAAATATTTTGGGCAATTTTCATTTCTCCTTTTCACTTTATATATACATATGGGCATTTGTCATAGTTTTGAGCTGAAAGTTTAGGTCAATCTCCTAAATTTTTGCTTTTTCCATTTTTTTTCCCATTCAAATTGGTTCAGATTTAGCAAAAAACACCGAACACCAAATACTTTATTACATAGTTATTAGATTTGACCCTGGCATCGATCCGGACAAGGTACTAAGTCTCGAATTACTGGTTGAACCAGTGGGTCATTGCATAAAAATTTATAAAAAAAAATTAAAAGTATAAAAACACTTTTAGGCAAATGATATTTTTTAAAATTATTTTTCACTAGAGAGAGAAGATGAAGAGTGTGGTATAGAGAGAACATAGAGAGAAAGATATAGAGTGGGGGCTTTAGTTCAGGATAAAATCAAGGTACTGGGTTGGATTTGGGATATAATCAGGGTGGGGGTTATTATTTGGATTAAGGTTTAATTAATTTTTTAATTACAAATAATAATCCTATTTACCACCTGAAATCTGAAATTTAAATTTAACCATCTTATTTATGAAAACTATCTTTAATTGTAGAGTTCCAGGTAATTTTTCTCAAATAAAAAAAGAATAAGAAATTTAGCCCAGCCCAAATTCCAACCCAAGTCCAATGTTTGATTATTCAAATTTAATTCAAGACTCTACAACAATTACATATTTATCTTATTCACAATCATGATACACAAATAACTTGCTATCAAATTAGGTATTTTATTTCCTACAGATTTAACTAAGTTTAAAGAGTTCCCTTATAATCAATTTAGTTTATTATATAACAAATAAATTTTAATGATTAAAGTAAAGATAAATGACTTATTTTAACAATATGAAATGACACATGTTTGACTAAATTTAAAAGTAATTAAATTCTTTTTTATGTATTTTTTCATATATTACTTATTTATAGTTGTGAGTTAAAAAATTATTTATTTCAACCATGAAATGGATGTTATTATCAAAATAAGTAATATACTCTATATTTAATTTTACTTGTTAAAGATATATTTGTTAGAACTTTGTCATAACTGTCCAAATATATATTCCCATGCATCTTGTCATGAACATCATAAGTTTAACATTTTAAACTAAATCTCATGTAATATGAAGCATCTTTTATGGTATGAATATATTGAAAAAAGAAATTAAATTTCAGCCTACTCTAATATATCTTTCCGGCTCTGTCCCTAACCGTATAATCAAAGAAACTAGTCATTTGACCGTCTATCTATACGATGTCCATTTTGGTGACGCCATAAATTGCTTTTATAGTTTTTGTTGCGCCATGTAAAACGACGTTGTTTTCGATTCTTGTTCAATAGGAGGGGTGGTGAAACTGGGGATTGAGCATATTCTGCTAGGAATAAAATGTAGCCCCAACTTGTCAAATGGACTGAATCTAATTCGTGTTGACGGGGAGGTGGGTAAGCTTCGTTACCGAAGATGAAATTTTTTCAATTCTTTTATTATTTTTGTGTTAACATATATTTAATTGTTTTAAGTATAATTTATTTGTGTTTTTTAAAAAGTTAAGGTACTCCATTCACATTTTTTCTCACTTTTGTTTATTTAAAGAGAAGGTCAAATTGGAGAGATGCCGAGTTTTACTAAATAATTGAAAGGTTTCGATGGATCATGCTAAAAGAAGTTGAGGATAGTTTTATTATATTTTGCAAAAATTAAGAATGAAAAATGCCAATTTCCCTTTTTCAATTATTTTAACCATCTCTAATTTAGTTCCTAGAGGCCTTAATGGGAGATGGCAAAAAAAAGAATCCATAATATTCATAAAATAACTTTTTTCTTACAAAATTTATCATATTTATTTTCTAGAGTTCCAACTTAAATAAATAAGAAATTACAGACAAATATAGATAACAGCTTCATTTGATTTTCTTTTTAAACATTGTAAAATGAAAATTAAAATGCTTTTCATTCTCTGAATTGGTCTTTTTTTTTTTTTTTTTTTTGGTAGGATCTTAGAACTAATTAATTAAATTTTTGTTCATATAAATTGTTTTAGAACTTTTTTAACATTGTACAATTTGAAAATTATTCAGGAATGTTTGTGTAGTTTTGTTATTATTTATTCTTCTCCTTTATACGAGTAAGCTTAATATATAGATCATATTCAGCTTAAAAACTGTTCAATGTTACAATTTTTACAAGTTGAGAACTATAGAACAGTACAATATTAATATACTAGTAAAATGTTCTCAGCTAGAAATAGGATAAGAAATCGATGATTTCAAGAGCTTAAGAGAAGAAGCCGAAGGTGTCCAAAATGGTTGTGTGAAGAGGGTCACTCAAGTGTGTAGCCCAGTTGTTAAGAGGACCTTTGCCGGTGGCGGCAGCCTGGACTGCAAAGCCGAGGAATGCCACCATGGCGAGACGGGCATGCTTTATCTCCGCCAGTTGAAGGGTGGCTTTCTTCTCAGGGTCGGCTGCCAAGCCAAGTGGATCGAAGAAGCTGCCACCGGGGTAAAGCCTCTTCTCGGGATCAAGCTCGGCATTCCTCTGGAACTCAATGTATCCAATCACCAGGACTTCAATCCATATTAATGTGGTTATGGAGAATGGAAGTGGTTGGCCAAGGTAGGAGGCACCCTCAACAAGCTCAACCTGTTAAATTTGTATGTACAAACATACACTCATTAGTCAATCTAAAACAAACTCGGATTTAGCCCCGGTTTGATAGGAAATAAAATTAGATTTTTAGTAGATTATAGAAGTTGGCAAAATGTGTGGTTGAAACTTGAAAGTTGTGGATTGCATAAAATACGTGGTTAAAATTAATTAAATAACTTTGATTTAGATTAAAATTTAGGTTTTAATCCTTACCAAACAGAAACTTAAGTATAAGCTAGCTATCAAACATCAAATCAAAATTTTTTTTAGTAATTAGGGAAAAAAGAAGAAGAAGAAAGAAGTAGAAGATTCGGACAACTACTAGTAAACATTGTAAATTCATATTTACAAGACATTCATGTGCATAAGATACTGGCTGATTGATGGGATAAGCAAAGAGTATCATTAAATTGAAGAGCGCTACAGGTAACATATTTCCTCTACGTGCAACTTTATACCATTCAATTTTACAAAGTCTAACATCTTAGAACAATTCCTTTTGCGTACGGGGAATTGGTTCATAGAACAATTACAGGTGCACCTGTGTGAGTGATTTTTTTTTTAACTGTCCAATCATATAATGACACGTGTATTCTGTAAAAAAAATAAAATTGTGAACCTTTTTGCACATGTAGCATAGTTCAACATCTTGAATGTGTGGCACATGCAATTTTGCATGGTACAGCTCCTTTCAGTCCACATTTTTACCTTTTCAAAACAGATTTTACAGGGAAATCATTCACCATGCACTGAAATGAAACCGTAATCAGCACCCATTGTTACTTCTTCAAGACAAATTTACAAGGAAATCATTAACCGTGCACAAAAATTAAACCCTAATCAGTTCACTTTAAGGGGTTGTTTTACAAAGATTTTGATAAAAATTTTAGTAGATTTTAATATATAATTTGATAAAATTTGTGATTGAAAAGTTAATTAAGGTTATGGATTACTTTAATTTTTGTTAAAGCAAGAGCTAAAGAAAGAATATATGTGTAGTTACCTTTCCCGCATCTTGCCATGTAACGCCGGTGAGCCACTCGACTGTCAAGGCACCGAGAGTGGCCAACATAGCCCACCTGCCATGGATCAGCTCGCACTCCCTAAACCTCTGGAGTCCAAAAACCTCACTGTAAGGCTGAAACGGTGTCGATTTAACATCAGCAGCCTCAGTCCTGGTCCCAATAATCTCACCCGCCAAGTTCTTGGCCAAGTTCTGATCTAGAGAATCTAAGTCATACTGCAAGTACTCAGCGGGTTTTCCCAGACCAAAAGGGTCGAAACCATAATCACCGACCAGACTTCCATCGAGCCATTCGGGTGCCCGTGCTCCCGGGAACCACAATGGGCGGTCCGTGGTGACGGACTTTGACACTTTCTTGGGTGGAGCTTTCTTTTTTCCGAATCCAAACCGAGCCTGGACACGACCAGATCCGGAGTGAGCCTCATTGAGGCGTGTGCCAATGAAGGAGGATGTAGCGGCGGCGACGGTGGTAGTGGCCATGTTGGAGGACGGTGGAGGAATGGAAAGTGGAGTTTGTTGTGTGTTAATGTATTTTATTTATTTATTTATTTTGGTGAGGATATAGAGCAAGAATTGGGTGATGCAGAGATTTTGTTGGGTGGAGAAATTATCTGTGGCCGTTGGATTGAAAGAATGAATCCATCTGACAATGGTAGTAGTCTAGTCTTATCTATATCTTATCTGGTTCACGTAGGATAACGCTTATGTGGTCGACGGCCAATTGGACAGATTGGAAAATAGAATGTTTTTTATTTTATTTTTTCCGCTCTCCTCTCCGTGCTCAATTAGCATAGAATAAACTGCACGGAGCCAAGCGATCAAATGGATTCAGCCAATCGATAATGGACAGATGCCTCTTTCATAGGATGGGGTCTAAGCACAAGCATTGGATTGGAAGGACAACTAGAGGGGCCCAAGAACTTTGGGAATAACATTACGGTAGTAACAAATAAACGCAATATCTTTGAAGTCTCAGCAGTATCTCTTAAGACACGGTGCTCATCCTCATAGCTATGTATGTAGATTGGTGACCATGTTATGGAGACATCCATCGTTACCATAGTTATCCATTGAGCAAGCACGAAGAGTGGTGTAAATATCAAAATCGACAATAAATGGTATTCAAGGCACTTGCATAAATCAAGATTCTCAAGCGTAAGATATAAATATCAATTATCACAAATTTTCTCCCATCAAGAGCTTGGGAAACATTTTTTTTTAATACTAGTCAATGTAGCGTGCGTTGCACGAATTTTGTATTTATCGTATTTTTATTAGCATATGAATTTTAATTTTTAGAAAAGCTTTTGAAGAAATATCTTGTAATATTTCCTTGATATAAAGAAAATTATTGCAAAATATTTTTACAGTTGCAATAGTAAAAAAATATGCTCAAGGTTATACAAAGTGAATGTGAAGATTATATTTATAAATTTTGTTGCTTGTGATGCTTCTATTAAATGGGTGGTAATTTGCTTGTTTTTCTATTCGTAATCATTTCTGAAATACATTAACATGTAGGACACGGGTTATTACTTGTGAAATTAGGTTGAGTTGCTCCTCTATAAATTATATTTTGCCCCTATTCTTTGATAATATTGATATGATTGAGTTGAATGTGAAGATTATATTTCTAAATTTTGTGTAATTCAATATTAAAAAATTGAAGATTGAGCACAAAATTATGAATCGATTTGCATATTAATACGCGTTTTATATTTTGTCATTCATAAATTTTAATATTTATTTTATGCTTATGTTGAAAAAATAAAAATTTGGAATTTTTTTTCTGACATTCGGTTTGGTAAGTGAATGTATGGTATTTTGCATTCTTGGTATTTGTAAATGCAAAAATTGGTATATACGATAAGCTGCAAATACGATAAATTGCCTGGAAATACGGTAGGCTGCATATAAGGTAAGCTGCAAATACGGTAGACAGCATATACGGTATTGAAATTTATTGTAGTGAACGAAATCGAATTCATTCATACCGTATATGCACTTGACATACCGTATATGCAACATACCGTATTTATGCATCCCATATATGCAGCATATCGTATTTACAGCATACTATATTTGCATCATACTGTATTTACAGTATATCGTATTTACATCATACTGTATATGTAGCACACCGTATTTACAACATACCATATTTGTATCATATCATATTTACAACATACCATATTTGTATCATATCATATATACAGCATACCGTATTTGCATAATATCGTATCTATAACATACCGTATTTGCACATATTATCTTTAGATACTGTATTTAGCAGATATTGATTTTTGTAATTCAATATTGTTTTTTTATAATTGTATTTCAGGGAATTTTAAAAAAATAGATGATTATGAAATTGATAATTTTTAAATGTATTTTTTTGTTGAAAATAAAAAAGATTTTTTTATGCTATTTGTAAGAAAAAAAATTATTGTTAATTTATTAGCTCTATTTCACTGAAACTTAATTACAAGAATCCACTAAAGCTAAATATCTGCATTAACTTTTCTAGTGGCTTTGAGAATTATTGAAGAAATATAAACTATATTCTTAACTTTAAAATGCCATCCTTTGAAACATTCTGATCTATGTAAATTATTTCTTTATTGTAAAAATTTCACTTTGGTCAAGGGTTATTCCACTGTTCAAATTTGTTAACTCGTCCCCATGTATCACATTGTATGTTAAACCAAAATTTCATTCTAGCAACCAGGAGAAATCACCCCATCTCATAGAGGTTGATTGACTTACTAGAATTTATGATGAGTTGTCATAACTCAACTCAACCTAACTTAATTGTGATCAAATAATAAGGTAAAAAGAAACTCTTGATTTCTATCTTCTTAGCCAGTGTACGTACCCAAGTGTGCAAAACGGCATAAATTGCACCATTCTAATGTCCTCTACTTGTCAAATTCTCAAAAATATTCTTCATGGCATCCCTGCTCCCTTAAGCGATATGGGTAAAAATGGCCTTGCCTTCCACACCATTTTCAAAATAGAGTTTATTGTAAAAGAAAATAAAAGAAAAAAAATATGATCTTCTCCAAACTCTACGGAGAGTTTGGCTTCCACAATTTTCAAAATGAGTTTATGGTATAAAAAAAAAACGATGTTTTCCAAACTCTCTATTGTAATAATAATAATAATACGATGTTCTCCAAATTTTCCGGAGACTTTGGAGAATTTGGAGAAACTCTCCGGAGAGTTTAGACAAACTCTCTATTGTTTAAAAAAAAAAAAATTACTATGTTCTCCAAACTCTTTGGAGAGTTTCTCCAAACTCTGCAAACAGTTTGGAGAGTTTTTTAAACTCTCCGAATAGTTTGGAGAGTTTGGCTAAAGTCTCGAACTCTCCGAACTGTTAGGAGAGTTTATTCGGAGAGTTTGGCCAAACTCTCGAACTCTTTAAACTGTTAGGAGAGTTTGGACAAACACTCCGAACAGTCCAAACCGAGCATTTAGTTTTGTTAATTTTATTGTAGATGCTAGCAAAAAAAAAAATTGTTGCGAGCGAAGTGTGCACACGCAGAGTATGGAGTTGCTCCACACTGTGCAGAGTAACTCCGCACACTTCGTGTGGAACAAATCTACACTTTGTTGGGAGCAGAGTGTGAAGTTGCTCCACTCTCCAAACTGTTTGGAGAGTTCGGATCCAAACTGAGCTCCAAACTCTCCAAAACAACTTGAAGAGGCATAGATTTTTTTTTAATCCGTTAGTATCAAACTCTCCAAACAGTTTGGAGAGGCATATATTTTTTAATCAATTAGTATCAAACTCTCCAAACTGGTTGGAGAGTTTGGAGACAAGTCTCCAAATAGTTTGAAGAGGCATGGATTTTTTTTATTTTTTTTAAATCCTTTAGTATTAAACTCTCCAAACTGTTTGGAAAGTCATAGATTTTTTTTAAATAGAGCTCTCCAAACTATTTGAAGAGTTCAGATCCAAACTGAGCTCCAAACTCTCCAACCAATTTGGAGAGGAAAATCGATGGAATTGTGTTAGAGGAATGCCAGTTTTAGTACAAATGAGTGGAAAACCCAGAGATTTTAATCTACTTTTTTAACCCAACCAAATAGGGCTTAGTTTGTTGTTTATTATTGTTATGTGTATTTGGATGTCAAGATGTCATGTTCAACTTTATTTCATAATCCCTTTGTGTAGAGTCTGATAAAAAAAATTAATTTCATTTGATGCAGTTGGTTTTTTGCTCCCATGTTCGAAATTCTCTCATCTCAACTTGGACAAGCAATTACTTTTGAGAAAATGATTCGATGGTGGGGATTAGATATGAACTCTCTTGCTCATTTGAAATTACAATAACCAGTGGTTTATTCCTTCTAATGTTGTTCTTGCCACCATATCAGGATCCATTATAGGTCTCGTTGTTTATTTTCATATGTTTATGCAATATGTTTATTTTGATTATTTATTTTGCTTTTATATAAGTAAATTTTTAACATAATCTAGGCTACAAGAATTAATAGAGTTAAGAGGTATATCTTCTTTAAGAAGTTAACAATCAGAAGGTGTGGAGTTCCTCATTCCAGCGAACTCTCCGCACTATGTAGAGAGCATTTTATTTTATTATTTTATTTTTTTAAGCTAACATTTTTCTTACATCTTCAGGCAAAAAAAAAAAAAAAGAAAAAAGAAAAAAAAATCAACTGCGAATTCTCCGCACGCTGTGTGCGGAGCGTCCGTTCACACTTCGCATAGCCGTGCAGAGTGTCCGCACACTCACACAAACTGTGCTGTTCGCACGTCCACGCAATTTTTTTTAATTAGTAATTAGACTAAATGCATTAATTACTATTAATCATTTTTTTTAAAAAATTCTATAGATAACAACAAATCTTTTGTTTGGTTGGTGAAAAAATAAATGAAATGGTAAATGATTTATAAAATCAATTATTACTTGCTTGGAATTTTTTGTTTCACATGGGTGACAGAGTCAAGAATTCACGTGAAACTTCTGAAAAGTTGTTTCACGTGAATAAAAGAGAAAAAGAACAAAAAGAAAGGTTATTCTTTGTTGAATTTTTCATTTCTTTACTGAAGTTCAGTTTTCTTTCATTTGTTTCAATAGTCTTGCAGTTGGATTTTTCATCTTTCATCACAAAATCTTAAGTCAATTTCAGAAAAACAAATTACAAGGTAATTGTTTAGTATACATGATTTTTTTGTTATTTTTGTTGTAGTTAATTTGTTTTCCTCCTGCTGTGAAAAAAATTATTTTCTACATATTTTTGTTGTGTTAATATATAGTCTAGCTGAATTTTGATTGCTAATTTTTTGAGTTTATACTGTCTTTTTTATTTTAAAACATCAATGTTTTGTTTTGTTGAGTATGTAAGGTTGAATAAAGCTTCATTCTTTGAATTTTCTAGTAGAAAAGTTTTGTATTTTTACCAGTATGAATATAAGCACAAAACCTTCATGAATTCTGAGTTTTCTGGGAATTTAGGCTATGATGACAACTTGCTTGTATTTATTGATTGCAAGAGTTGAGGGATATAGTACGTATTGATAATTTCTGGTTTCT